TTTTTGACATCCCAGCCCCATACACCGTGCATTTCCCACAGGCATTGACCTTTTGTAGGGCCATCGGCACGCCAGGCGCTGCGGCCCTCCACGTTGAGAACACTACTACCAGTCTTGGTTGTAGGGAAAGGGAAAGACCGTGTCCACTTGGCGACCTCAGTTGGATACCCGGCGCCCAGCTGAAACGACTCAAAGGCCGTCGCTATCCACGGCTGACCTAAATGAAATAGGAAGAAAGACTGCGACTCACGGATGTAATCTAAGTGGAGGTCGGTGTTATAGTCAAAGGCGTGTAATGACTTCAGTTCTATGTATCCTCTATGTGGTTCATTCATCATCTTGTTCAAAAAAGTTTCAGAATTATTTTGTAGAAATCTGTCGACTGACTTACTTCAAAGCCCATAACTGCATCGAGATCGCCGACGGCCTTGACAAGGGTTTCAAACATGTTCAAAAAAGCGTTTTGTAAGTAAGTTTGAACAGGAACCCCATCTATAAGCAATTTTGGAGCGAAGGTGTCGCCTGCCCAGAAACATGTTCTGTGATTCTGATGTGGGCAATAAATTATCAAGAAAGAGTAAATTACTCACGCCATCGTGGCGGCAGACAACTTTTGGTATCCGCATGGCCATATGCCACGCTCGGACTCGTGATGTCCACCGCCCTTGACGCCCTTGAGAAACGCAGCATGTGTTTCCTCTAGCGCGTGCAAATCGAAACCAACGGCTTCTACTGTCCACGCGGGTGCACCAGAGCCTCCAGTGAATCGGGACCAGACATCCTGATGCATGTTCACCATTGTCAAAATTCCGTACTTCGGAAATAATGACAATAGTTCACGTAGGTATGCCAGATATTCGGCGTCGTACATGCCACTGAAGGTATGAAGAGTTCAACCCAAGCAAATCACAATACATAATGGGTTCCTCACGGGCCATCGTGTTCAATAGCCTCCCATGTCACAAGGAAGCGTACTAAATGTCTAGTTAGAATTATGTATACTTCGATACCCGTCTTGACAGTAGCTCTCACCGAACGTTAGACCCCATCTACGTAGACGAGCAAGATGCTCGGGCGCCTCGTCTATAGGGAAGGGCCTTCCCACAAATGTTGCGAAGCGATGATCGTGAGGAAACGTATCATCATCGTGGTTTATTGGCCTGTCCAAGACTGAATTTTGTATTCAATACACGAAGTCAAGTAATGCTCTCCCGTACGTCTTGCATGATCCTGACACGTTGACCCCTCTGAGTTGACACACGCGACCGTATTTATCTATGAAATGACGCCCGTGGATGCGCAAACCACCTGTACTCTGTGGCGACCAGTCGTGAGCATAGGATGGCGTTGCACCGGGATGATATGAGGGGTCCAAGAACGGATGGGAAGACTGCACGATACAAGGTTACATCGTATGTCATTTTTTTTTTGACAAGAAAACCTACAGAGGCGTCCTCAACGAATATAAACGATGCTTCCGATCCAGCTGGACTGTCAAGCATCGTGCACTGTAGCTACAAGTTAGAGCTGCTGCTGGCAGTGAGTTCTACTACCAGCTAGGTGATCGGCGATCAACGGCGACCTGAAGTTATGCTTAGGCTTATCTCATCATCATCACTCGAATCTCATTCTAATGTGCACAACAGGCTTGACTTGACTTCTCAATTCCATTTTCTTAATCTTTTTCTTTTTGTCGTCTATTGTATCAATTTTTCGCATTTCACGATGACAAGTCGCCTTAAACGCAAGCTGAACGACATTGGCGTCGATGTCCACAGCCGCCACGCCACCGAAAACTTTTGTCTCGTATGACAGGTCCACCTGCAACTGGCTAACCATAATGTGACGCTATCTCTCAGGTTGGCACGCCGTTACCGCCTCTCGAGAAAACGAAGGACATTGGGGAGTTTGTTCCGTTGTGGAAGCAAGAGGTGAGTTTCAATAACGCGAATGAGGCGGTATTCATGACCCATTACAGGTTAGAGACGAGAAGGGACGGAGACGATTGCATGGCGCGTTTACAGGAGGATTCTCCGCAGGATACTTCAATACTGTTGGCACCAAAGAAGGTCTGTCAGACAAACTTATTGTGTCGACTCTCGGGGCTGACTATGGTCAGGCTGGACACCATCGACATTTGTATCTTCAAGAAATGATCGTTCAAAGGCAAAGGTATCTCGACCTGAAGATTTCATGGACGAGGAGGATTTGCAAGAGCTCCGCGATAGTCAGAATCTCGTCGATACGACGGAGGAGATGGATTTCACGGGCGGCTCACAAACGCGTCAGGAACAATTAGAATCTGAGTGAGTGTATTCCTGCCTGGCATTCGCTCCACGTTTATTCTCTCTTTAGCTCCTTGGCGAGTGCTCTAGAAGCGTCAATTCTTCCCGCTCCAAAGGATTCTCCAGGAGCGTTACTCCTCAAGAAGATGGGCTGGAAGTTGGGACAAGGCATCGGGCCCCGTGTCACCCTTCGTCAACGTAGGATACAAGACATTCAGGCTGGGGTGGCCGTCTCGCTGGATGATCTGCCCGATGACGAAGAGGCTGCAAAGCATCTATACCCCCCTCGAGATATACCAGTATTGCGTGTTCCCCGCAAAGACAATTGTCACGGTATTGGATATCAGCCAGGCATGGGTCTCAGCGGGAGTCTCGGCGCTAAGGCAGAGTCGAGAGGCTCTGGTCCAAAGATCGCAGGTTAGTTACCACTGTTTTTCACGATCACATTCAACTCAATGTCGCCGAAGCTGGCTTTGGTCTGGGTGCGCTGAATGATGCTGACGAGGACGACCTGGATGTGTACGATCCTGGTCCAGCGACTATGTCCAGAAACCGGATGGTATATGATATGATCGACCACGAGGAAGAAGAGAACCCCACCATATCTCGCACGCATACATCCACCGCACGGGTACGTCTCCCTTGCAGCTACGTGGACGATCTTTTGATCGCGCTCTAGAAAGCAAAACCTTCAACGTCGCAGACTTTTCGAGACGGGCGACCCGTGCTTCCAGGTTTTGTATTGGCAGACGCACCTGTAGTCCAGGATAAAGTGTCGGTCTGCGCTCTCCACACAGTAATAAATCTCATGAAAGTTTCAGGTTTCCGATGCCCGATGTACCTCCGGATTGGCGACCAGATCCTCGGCGTGTCTGGGGCACTGCAGACAAGGAAAATGTAGATACGCTACAGCTTCCCTCGCATGTGCAATCTCATGCAGCGTGGTCAGCGGGTATGTCGGCAGACGAGGTGAAATTTTGTTTATTAGGTACACTTACCGCAACCTCATTTTTCTTGTGCCAGAGAGGCGCCCTGCTCGGCGAGACACCGCTTCCGCGGCCACCTCGATCTGTCTTCGAATATATGTCGCAGAAAGACCGCGAGCGTATACGGAACATCGCTGTTGGAGGCGTTGTTGGCCCTCTCCCTGCACCCGCACCGGAAATCCATATTCCACACATCGAGCCCCGCATCGCCGAGGCTGCGCTGAAAGGCTTCCAGCCTTTCACATCAGATTGGGTTAAGCAAGCGCGTTATACGGCGTATTTGCAGTCTCAGGCATCTCCGGAAGCAGGAACTTTCGACTTGAAGCCGCGTGATGGTCAGGCCATTGACGCTTTTAACAAGGAACTGGAAGACTATGCGAAGGCAGCCGCGCTCTACAAGCCCATGTCTGGTGCGATGGCTGGTCGCTTTACGAGTGGGGCGGTAATCGAGCACGGGCCGAAGGTCCAGGAAGGCCTCCACACTCCGTCGTTTACTTCCGCGGAACCGACGGAAGCTGAGCCTGGCGATGAAGAACCTGCGAAGGAGGAAGAGCAGCTCAGTCCTAAAGAGGGGGCAGCACGGGCAGGCATGTTTGGGCCGCTGACGAGGGAAATCATGCCATGGCAGCCAGCAAAGTTGCTATGTAAACGCTTTGGAGTCAAGGAACCTGATCTGGAACCGACGGACAGCATGTTTTCTGCTCCTGCGTCCACAGCTAAGCCTTCCCCTTCTCTTGATGTCGACAGCAGTTCCACAGCGAAACCTTCTACCAGTGGGGCGGAGGAGAGCGACAAGACGAACGGTCCTAGAGACTTAAACAACGTCGGGCTCGGGGAAGACGACACACAGGGAGCCGATACGTTGAGTTATGTACGCCCGCCCATGGACGTTTTCAAGGCCATTTTCGCCAGTGATGACGAATCGGATTCCGAGGACGAGGACGTCGTTATGGACGACGAGTCGAGCCTGAAGCAAGCGGCTGAGACACCTTCGTTTTTAGCCAGCCTTCAAGCTCAGCCCGTCTCTACGTCGACATCCGTTGCCATCCCGGCGTCTGCAGCGCCTGCCGAGCCGGAGGTGATCGACACGAGCACTTTCAAGCCCACCTTTGTTCCTCGAAAAAAGAAAGAAAAAGAACAACACGCCGCGGAAAAAGCCGGCAAGGAAAAGGAGAAGAAGCAGAAACGGCATCGAGAACGGAAGGTTGCGATATCATTTGGGATGGATGATGAAGATGGCGGTGGCATGTCTATCTCGCCCGAGAAACCGGTGAAAAAGAAAAAGAGAAGGGAAAAGAAACGGGAGGGTGGCGATCACGACGACGACGATACAATGTGGGTCGAGAAGCCGCCGCCTGAAATTGTCAAAAAGCTTCCACCGAGTAGCGTGCCTGCGACTGCCCAAGACGATGAAGAGGCAAAGGCGGCAGCACCGGACCACACAAATGCATTGGGGCATCATCGAGCTCGAATGAGAGCCGTCGACTTCTTGTAGCAGTCCTGTATTCTGTACTTGTTGTCTTTTTTATGTGTTACTTCAATGCACACTTTCACTGGATCATTGTATGCGACGAATGGAGCCCCCAAAAGGAAAATTTTCCATCGACTAAAAACTTTTCCATTGATTAGCTTTGCCACATCCAGGGCTAAAGCGCTGACAGGCGCTGACCTATGACGGCGACCGGACCGAACACGGTACAGTACACTAGTAGTTAACACGTAGAACTTGTCGGATATGGTGTAACGGCTAACATTTGCGCCTCTCATCGATAGATCTGCTTCATGTGATCGCGCAAGCTCGGGGTTCGATTCCCCGTATCCGAACCTTATCGAACACTGTGTGTTTTTTTCAATGCGCCACGGTGCAGACCTCATGTCGGCACGGTGACCGTAAGTGCATTTCCTCAACTGGTGATACACAGATTCATATGATGATTGTAGATGTACAGTACAGTTGTTTTCGAAGTGAGATCTCAAAATCTCATGTTAGCGGCTGCCGTGAGTCGCCGATCACCGATCAACAGGACAATCGGCAAAGCGAGACCAAGGAACTGCCGAAAAAGGCAAGCTTCTGCAAATTGGGCAAACTCTTTTACCTTAGTCCCTCCTTCGGTCGCATAAAAGGGCCCCTACAAGCACACGGAGCGCCGCGAAAGCAACTGTTATGTCACAGTTGATAAAAACGATTTTCAGATCATTACAAAAGTGTCCTTCAATCAAGCCGATAACAACTCGCAAAGTGGCTCTACAAAAAGTACGGATATAACTATACGCACAGCGGAAATAACCAAGGAAGAATGAAGAAAGAGGCACTCTAAAAACGAGCCTAAAAACGAGCGGGAGTGTCCCATTGAATGTCCCCATGTCATTATACCCAAAGATCTTGACAACATCAAGAGAGCCGAGTGCACATCCGCGGCGCTCAGGAAGCGACTCCCAACCTCTGCAGCATGCCGACCTTGATGACGTTAATCTAGAGGCAGCAGTAGCCACCGTCAACGCGGATCTCCGTGCCGGTCATGAAACGCGAGGCATCGCTAGCCAGGAAAACGACGACACCCTGTAGATTCGTTGTCGGCATCAGAACGAGAGAGGACGTGAATGAAGTCACGTACATCGAGATCCTCAGGATCGCCCATCTAACATACAAATGCGCGCTTGTCAATGCCTCGAACTTGAATCTATACCAAAAAAAGCAACGCACCCGGCCCATGGGCGTGAGGCTCTCCCATGTTTTCTGCAACCAGCATCATCAGACTCGATGATTTCGACAAAAGGGCATCGGAAAGTGATAACATACTTTAAGCTCCTGATCATGGTCAAGAATTGTCTTCGTCAATTTGGTCAGCATGTAACCGGGGCTATTAGATGCAAACGCGACGGGGTCAAATGACAGCTAGATTAAATGTGTACAAGGTGTCTTGCCTGATGCAGTTGACGCGGACGCCGCGCTTCGCCCATTCGACGCCCAAGCTCGCGGCCATGTGCTTGACAGCTATAAGTGACGTCACGAATAAGCCAACCTCGCGAAGAAAACGCGCGCGTACGCACCTGCTTTCGACGCGTTGTACGGGGTCTGCGGTTGCGGCACGTTGACGATCTACGTTGCGTCAGATACGCGATCGATGCTTCACAGAACGCGAAATACCTACGTTCGCGCTCATACTTGAGACGAGGATGATAGAGCCGCCACCCTGACGGAACATGGCGCGCGCGCCCTCTCGTGCGGTGAAGAACGCGCCATGGACGTTGATGTCGAACAGACGCTTGACGCGGTCGAAAGGATAGCTGTCGTGATTTGAGCACTCAGAATCGCGACACAATATATGGGGCCGGCGCACTCCATGGCTTCGTAGTTCTCGACAATGCCTACGTGGACGCGTCAGTAAAGCACCATAGCGGTGGAGTACTGATCCACCTGCTGACGCGACAACGCTATCGATCCGACCGAACTTGTCGAGTATGTTGGCGTACGCGGCTTGTACTGAGAGCTCCGATGCCACGTCGCATCCCAAGCCGATGACGGTCACATCAGATTTGCCGTCGCTGCTAGCTTGACGCGCATGAGAGTCGATTCTCCGAACAGTAGCCAGGAGACACACCATAGTTCATCATATCTTGAGCCGCCTTGTGCGCGTCCTCCTTGACGAGGTCTAAGATGGCAAGCTAGGTTGTGTTGTCGAGACATGAGCCGGACGGACAATGTCTCTCTTCGACATACCTGAGAGCATCCTCTGTGAAGAACCCCATCATAAACGGGAACGCAGCGGTATTTAAACAAAACCACTTACGCGTCCACAAACGCCTTTGCGAACTGGTTGCCGAGACCACGGGCAGCACCGGTCACCATGCAGACCTAACAACCTTGGTGTAAGCACATAGCAAACTTCCTACGCAGAAAAAACCTTCACCTTTCCTGCCATTGAAAGCGCGTCAAGGACTTTCTTTGGTCGTGGTGGTATGGTCGCATCCGATAATGCGTCCTTCGCCTGGAAGCTCGTGCTTGAATTCAGCCTCCTTGACCAGTGTGGGGGTGCATATAGGACGCCTGCACTGCGCGGTATAACACTTCGACGCACGACGCTGGCGCGTGCAGCCAGACGGGCAACGGACATTTTCAGGGAAAGACGGGGAAAGGTGTGCGGGGACTTGTAAGGATCAGGATCCGATATCCAGCCCCGCAGGAGACGCGCATATATAGTCCTGCGACGCGCTTGGTCCGTTCCGTCATCGGTCTTTCGTTCCAAGTCCCGCTACACGAAGCTGACACTTATCGTAAACCCGCCTGATACGGATACTTCCTCGGGTACTTCAAACACAACACAGCGCGACTTGGTTCTTCCGGATGGGCCCACCGGTACGAGTGCCGAAAAATAATTGGAATCACAATTGACAATTGATATCGTACTATGGCCGTAATCGGTATGTGTGTATGCATTACTTTAAAAAATCAACAAAAAACAAGAACAAAGAAAAGACAGGAATTTGGGAGAGTGAGACCGACAGAGAAAGTTGGGCATATGTGTGAAAGAATGGGTGCGGTTATCCGGACAGATCATAGATGGGGGGCCATAGTTATAATAAGTGGGCTGTTATGAAACATGAAGGGTATACCTAAAGCAAAAAAATCGCGAGGTGGATATAGTCGAATAACGTTAATGAAGGAGGTTGTGACAAGGGGTCGTTGAGTGGGAGCCGACAGCGACGGCGATCAAGGCATGCATTCGTAATATCCAGGAAAAGCAGATAGCAAACAACATAACAGGGGATGACTTGGTCGAACAAAATAACAGAACGAAAGGAGAGGTAGCGCAGGTGAGGAGGGGAGTGTACACGGGCAGGGAATCTATAAACACGCAAACTTCGACTTGCGTTTTTGGATCTCTTCCATGCGAGAGTCGAGCTGCTGTCGCGCCCGCTCCTTCGCTCTCCGCTCTTCGTCAAGTCGCTGCTCGAGGGATTGCTTTTCCTCGACAATCGACCGCCGGACGTTTTGCACTTCCTTCTTGGCGTCAGCAACCTCGGTTCGGAGCGCTTCACACTTGGCCAACAATGTATCCCGCTCTCGCGCCAACTCCGTCGCGTGCATCCGGGCTTTACGAACTGAAAAAAAAATCAGCAACCAAGACGGACGTCGGAAAAGGCATCAGTTACTTACGGTTCTTCTCCGAGTCGCCTAGCGAAGTCTCCAACGTCGTCACTAAATCCATGTGCGTTTGCAGGTCGCTCTCGCAATGTGTCAACTGCTTGTTTAGAGTCTTGATCATTACTTCTTGCTCCTCTATTAGCTTCGTCTGTTGCTCGATCTTTACCACCAACTTGTGATCATTTGCAACGTGGGCAGGCGAGGCAGATGAGGCGATCGAAGTAGCGGGCGTGTCAGCATGCGACTCGTGTGACGAGTTGGACCCGACGCCTGATGACGACACGGACGACACACTCTGCGAGATCTCGTTAGAGGCGACTGCGCGAGGTGCAGATGGCGGCGGGACTGAGGGTGGTGGTACGGTCGGCGGCAGCTTCATGGGCGGCAAACCCGGGCGCGAAATCGTTACTACCCGCGCACCGGAGATCAAAGGCGATGAGCTCAGTGCTAACTGCGCCTGCATTTCCCGCAAGACGGTCTCGGAACGCGTCTTCTCCGATTGCAAGGCGTCCCTCTCAGTCTGAAGGACGTCTTTCTCGTCCTTAACACGTTGGAGATCCTCTTGCAATTCGGCCAGCACGGACCGATGTCGCTCTAGCTCATCGACCAGAGACTGCCGTTTCGAAGCCTCCTGAATTAGCTTAGACTGCTCCTTAAATGTCTTATCCAGCTCTCCACGCAGTCGCGCAACCTCGGCTTCAAGATCATCCCGTTGTGCAGTCACGGCAGATAGCTCCTCGGACATCTCCTCGAGAACGGTTTCCTTCTCCGCAAGTAAGGCATTTCGCTCAGCTAGCATTTCTTCGTGAGCTTGCTGCGATGCCTTGAGTTCAGCTGACGAAGAATCCGACGAGACCTTTAAGGCCTCCAACGCTTGTTTGCACGACTCAAGCTCTTGAGCGAGGAAATCGCGGTCCTTCGTTAAGGCATGCCGTTCCGCAGCATGATCTTCTCTCAAAGACTCGAGCGTGGCGGTCATCCGGGCGCGTTCCTCTTCAACGATGCGACCACTAGCAGCCCGCGCCTCTTCGAGGGCAGCAAGATGCTCCTCTTGCGATGCAACCATCGAGTTGTTCATTTCTTGAATGACCTTCTCGTGTTCTGCTCGTTGTCGCACTACCACCTCAGAATGAGATTGGGCGGAAGCTAACTGCTCTTCGACGGAGTGATCAAGTTCGATCTTGAGCTTGGTCATCTCCTCGGAACGCACCACGGCCTCCTCCTGGAGCACTCGCACAGCGTCCGCATGTTGCGCCATCAATGCAGAAAGTTCTTGAGCATGCGCATCCAATAAGGACTTCTTCTCGGCGTCGAACAGAGTCTGAGCCTCTTGTAAAGCCGCCTCACGCGCCTGAATCAACTCCTCGACTTTCGACTGATGCCCGCGTTCTACATCCTGCAGGTGAGCAGCATGTTGCTCGTTCAGCGCTCGAGTGGTCGACTCAAGTTCCTTGCGGGCGATGTCAGTAGCGTCTTGCGCGTCTTGCAGGCCAGCAGAAATCAGCGCTTGGAGGCGATTGGACTCGACGCGCCATTCCTCCTTCATGCGCGTGAGAAGACTCTCATGCTCAGCACGAGTTCGATCGAGCTCCAAAGCGTGATCTTCCTCTTTGGTTGTCAACGCCCGAGCATGATCGGTCCTGAGCTGCTCGATCTCCTCCTTGAAAGATGCCTCCTT